CACTCGGGGCGGCCGCTCCCTGCCCTGCGCCCACCCGCACCCTCCAGCGCCCTCTTCTCCTTCCACGGGAGCTGAGGGTCACCCGGTGGCGTCCCGGGTTCGTGGGCTCTGGGCACAGCGCCGAGGCCCCGCCACGCCTGGCTGGCCCCTGACCTGACGGTTTGCAGAGCAACTTTAATACAGAACTGGCCGGGGGACACCGAGCTGCCCAAGGAAAAAGGGCGATCGTTGTCAGAGTGCTGGAGACCCGTGTTTCTCGTGCGCCTCGTGATCTTGCGTAAGCACTATTTATGGAGAACTTAATGACTATTTTTATTAGTTTCTTTAATAATGAAAGCAACACACTTTAGTGGCATATTCCAGATGATACTACGATAAGCCACGCTCAGCGATAATGGTGTGTTAAAATCAACTTACAGGATTAATTCGAAGACACCGGAGCTAAGGTGGCTGTAAAGTATATTCTTATTTTACCCCTAAAGCCTTTTTGCTTTTCTGAGCTCAGTTGAGTTGAACAGCCAGGATTCCGTGGATCCAAACCTACCAACACATTTAAAGACAATAATAGAAAAAGTGATTCAAGACAGTTAACGTCTTATTTGGTAGTAGGACCCTCTCCACAGTGAAATTTCATGGTTTTGATTTTCAAAAAAAGTATGTGACGGCTGCATTTTGATTATGGTTTTGGTCATGTGTAGGGCCTTTGTTTTCAATTCCTACTACAATAGGGAGAGATTTGGGAGATTGTAAATGAATATGAATTTGTTTTGTTTGGAAAGAGGGAATTAAGATAAAGAAAAATGGTCTTTTGAGCAATGTGCACTGTTTATTTTACTCAAACAATTTAGTTCCTATGATAACTTGTTTTGGAATTGTTTTGGGAGGTGTTTTCTTTTTCTTTTCTACTGGAAGATACTGTTTAAATCAAAAGTTTTAGTGCTAATAATTCCAGAGTAAATGACCATAATCTGACACTTGGGGGAGGGGGCGTCCAGAAAAACAAATAGGTGGGTGATCTGTTTTCCTTATCCTTTCAGGGAACACATAAGAGCACATTGGAGGAGAGATGGATAGAGTGAGAGAGGGAGAGAATGAGAGAGAGAGAGACAGGGAAATAACCAAATATTAAGCATGATGATTTGGATCTAAAAATGGATGGTCAAAGATCTTGGGAACTAAGGGACCTTCTTGCCAAATAAGGACACTTGGCAGGCTGCACTGTGTATTTTAAGTTAGCACAAGAGTGAGTGTTATTGGCAATATATTGGCTGAGTGCCTATCTGGATTGAGTAGTGAATCTGACTCTGATAGGACTACGCAATTATAAACAGAGTTATGAGGGGTGTGGAGTGAATAATCTAGTCATCAGAGCAAACACTGGCCAGATCACAATGATGTTTCGTGAAAGAGGTTAGATGTAGAGTGAAGCTATTAGTGTGGAGTGAAAGAGAAAAATGGACAGTTGATTTTAGAAATTGATAGATTCAGAGAAAAGAGAGGAGAAAATCAGTAATTTGAAAAAGGTATTTGTGTTGATATGGTACTTCTTAGAATAAGACAGCCTTATGCCTATATCCAGAGATGTTGGCAATAAAAATCAAGTGTGTGTGTGTGTGTGTGTGTGTGTGTGTCTCTCTCTCTCTCTCTCTCTCTCTCTCTCTCTCTCTCTCTCTCTCTCTCTCTCTCTCTCTCTCTCTCTCCCACACACACACTTTCTTTCTCTTCCTCTCTGAAATCAATAAAAATATATTTTAAAAAATCAATCTGGATCATTTGTTTTCCATTTTATTTTACCCAGGACAGATTGATAGGGAGGGTGTCGTGTACTACTGCAGGGAAGCTTAGGCTACATCTTTTGTGGCTATTAACCTTGCCCTGCTGCACACAAATAAGCACAGTTCCAGCTGTGAACAGAGATGTGCACCTGTTAAGGAAGGAGAGCTGTAAATACTAGAGCTTAGATGGGGTTGACTGATACAGGGTGCTTTTGTGTCGACCCTCCCACAGACAGCTCAAGCATCGATTATGCCCTAATAGCAGTTAAATAATCCCAGCACAGTAGACAATTCTGTGAGGACAAAGCAGCCACACATTTGACACCCTAACCCCAGCATCGTGGTTGCTAATAGGAAGTGAAAGCCTCAGATTGAACTGTACGTGGATGGTAAGCAATCCAGTAATTACTGTAATAAGAAAAGGATTTGTTTAAAGCGTGTGTGGTGGTGGTGGTGGTGGTGGGGCAAATTAGAAGGAGGAAGAAGAATATAGTGGAAAAAGACATATGGTATGGTGGGGGAAATGGTATTACTTTGGAGTCAGACTTGAGTTTGAATCCCAGTTGTGTCAGCTTTAAGTTAGGTAGTTAGCTGGGGCAACTTTCGTACCCTTGACAATCATTTTCCCCACATGTAAGCTGGGGACAGTGATACCTTGCTTTATGCGACAGCGCATGGAAATGCTTGGACCAGCGCCTGAAACTTCAGCTGCCATAACTGAATAATAGAGAAGGGTGCCTTTTCACATTCTCAAGTTATACCCAGAGAAAGCTGCCTGTCTCACCCATCCCCAACCAAGGCTTGCCCTGGTAGCCTGCCCTGTTCCCAGATCATGGTTACATATGTCTGTAGGGCTAGAAGGTTTTCATAGCTACTCTCCTGCTTTTAGTATCAGGATTTCTAAAGCAGCTTTGTGCACCTCTGTGTTTATATACAGTTTTGTAATGCTTTCAGGGGAGAATTGGAAAATTCATGCATTTAAATATCTATATGAGAAGCTTGAAGAATTTGGGGGGTTGCATGAAGAGGGGAAGGTTATGACCTAGAGACCAAAACCAAAATCATTTTGTAGCTGATTTTGAGCACAGTTTATCTCCAGGGACCAACATCCTTCTTCCTGGACTTATCTCTGGACTTCCATCCGGGAAAACCAAAGAGAGGAGGCAAGAATTGCTGTCTAAAGATCATGGAGTAATATTTCTCGTTAAAGTGTCCTACTGTGGGGAAGAATGCGTTCCTTCAGGATTTGTAATTGTGGGTGTAAATACCCCAATGGAAGCAAGCGCTTTCTTTAAAATCTTGTATTTCATCATGAAAATGCACGTGACTGTTGCATTCTCCTCTGTGTTGTTTGACTTTCTTGTACAAGACAACACAAACAGATACTAAGCATGTTTGTTCCCCCAGATCCTAAAGTAAAATCGACGCTGTGGATGTGTGTTTATTCATACACCGTCTGCTCAGTGCTGGGCACCCACCTGTGGGAATACCCACATTTGAGGAGTGCGGGCCCGGTTCTGATCATTGGTGCTGCGCCACCAAGCTTCACAGCTCAGCCCAATGCATGGGGTCATGCAAATCCATTTTGCTAAGAAAAGGAGAGGGTGGATCATCGTCCAAAGAGTTCATTTTTCTGTGGCTTTCAAGGAGAAAGAGCTCTTTGCCTTGAGGGGACGGTTGTAGGATAGAAACCTGGCAGGAAGCTCTCACCTTCCCGGCCAGTTTGGGAGGAGACATGTAGGAGGATAACCCAGTCATCTCCATTGTTTCCATCACTGGCGTTAATCACTGTGGTTCATGACTGTCCCTGAGAAGAGAAGGGAGACCACTCATACTGTATAGTAGGTTAATTAGCCATTGCTTACTCCAAGTAGGCCTTAAAAAACCATTCATTCCAAAACACATTTGGCTCAGTGGATAGAGCGTCGGCCTGTGGACTGAAGGGTCCCAGGTTCAATTCCGGTCAAGGGCATGTACCTGGGTTGCGGGCACATTCCCAGTATGGGGCGTGCAGGAGTCAGCTGATCGATGTTTCTCTCTTCGATATTTCTAACTCCCTATCCCTCTCGCTTCTTCTCTGTAAAATCAATAAAATATATATATATATATTTTTAAAAAACACCATTCATCCTGCTCTCGCAGCTGCTGTGGGAGTCTCCTACTGTACATGCCCACCTCCCACTGAACACTGTCAGTGCTGGGGAACTCACTACTTAACAGGGGGCATCTTTTCTTGGTAGGCAGCTCTAATAACTAGCAATTCTTTCTGTAACCTTTTCAACATATAACTTTCCTCTGGATCGGTGATGCATAATCTAGGGTCTTTCTTTGGTCTTCTCTAGTTTTAACGCCCCCATTTCCTTTCATTTTATATCAAGGTCACTGGGTTTTAACCCTCATATTGACCCTTCTCAGGGAACATTCATTCTAGGCAATTAGTCCAAAAATTATAACTCTGTTAGCAATATCCAGCATGGTCAGATGCTTTCTATTTGACAAAAAACCAGGTTCAAGGGTAGAAACAAAAGCTGAGTAGCAGCAAGGAAGTGTGGGCCTGCTGACTGAGCAGCAACTGCTTTCACACCACCCCACCCCAAACACCCAGAAATTCCTCTTCTAGCCAACCCATAGAAAAGTGCCCTGTTAGTGCTCCTGTATTTCATTCAGATTCCGAATCCTGTTCCTCCTGCCTCCAGTCATTGAACACAGGAAGCCATGCCGTGCCCATGTCGTGCCTTGTGCCCATAGCTGTGTCCTTGTTGGGCCTCTGAGCACAGACACTTTTCCACGCAGCATTTCCGTGGCACAAGTGCAGCTACCCCTCACCTTCCTGTCCCTCCTATATTCTGCCTCTGGTCAACATTTAAGGAAGTGTGTCATGGAAGCCTGTTTTTCATTCATTGGAACAGTAAAGTGTAAATCAGACTGTTTCTTTTAGCTAACTCATTTTTATTTTAACCTTTGCTCTAACTAGAGAGTTCTGTTACGTATATAGTAAAACATAGAAGAAAGAAAAGAAACAATAGCTGTTGTATTTTTAAGATTCTGAACGTGGAATTCCCTGAGATATCTGTGACTGAAGATCCTATTCACTGCCCGGCCGGCGTGGCTCAGTGGTTGAGCGTCAACCTATGAACCAGGAGGTCAGGGTTCGATTCCCAGTCAGGGCACATGCCCGGGTTGCAGGCTCAATCCTCAGCGTGGGATGTGCAGGAGGCAGCCTATCAATAATACTCATCATTGATGTTTCTATCTATATCTTCCTCTCTGATATCAATAAAAATATATTTTAAAAAAGAGATCCTATTCACAGAACCTGACCTATTCTATATAAGATATACTGCTTTTCTCGTGTGGCAGCCAGGGAGGGAGGAAAGAGTATCTGTGGTAGACACAGTACTAGTCACATACCTATTCTCCTCTTGCTAGTATAGATCTTAACTTTTTTTAGTGACTAAAAAAACAGAAACGTAGAACAGCAGTCCTGTTCAGGAATAGAATT